GAATACAAAACTGATCAATTGCAATGAGGGGTTGGTGAAGGTGAATGGTGGGAGTTTTGGAAGAGAACAATGAGGAGAGATAAGTGGCAATAAAAATTCCTTAGTTTTAATTCAATTAGGGGTGTTTTGGTTCATTTAGTACAAATTAATGGTAAAAAACCTTAAAAAAATGAATAGAAGAACTAAAGGGTTAGATGAGGAAAAAGACTTAGAGATATAAAATGTATTGCGGAAAAAATGATGATTAACTAGTGTATTTGATGGTAACTGAGAGACTCAATATTAATTATCTCTTATATTATATATTTTTCATTAAGGCTTACTAAATTTTTTAATATTACAACTAACTAGTAGAAAATAAATTATTTGAAAAAATATTTTAAAAAAAAAAGAAAAAGAAAAAGAAGAAGCCCAAGTCTTATTATTTTGTTGTAAGCAATCTTCTGATTGTTTTCCAAGTTGTTTAGCGATAAAAAAATAAAAAAAATCAAAATTAGAAAATCTCAAGGAGAGAACCCAAAATCTCTTGATACGATAATATAACTAAAGCGACAGAAAACGAGAAAAATGAAAAATAAAAAAAGGATTAGGAGGGGATTTCTGAATTGTGAAGGGTCAATAGTGGGTACCCACCTTCAGATTCCGGCCAACCAGAATTTGGTGTTTTAGACGAAACTTCGCCAACTACACACATCCAAACATTCCCTATTCCCCACCACTGTATGACACGACATCGTTTTTCCTTCCTGTCTCACTCCACCGACACATTCTGCAACACTAATCATCAAGGAAAATTACAAATTTATTTTTTTTTTTTTAAAAAGGATTAATGTTTTTTTGAATTTTATCAATTTCTTCAATTTAGTATCTCGACTTCATTTTTTATCGGTTAGATATTTAAACTAATAAATTTTTACAATTAAGTGTATTTTATTGGTATTTCTCATCCAAACATGAAAATAATTATTTTTATCCCATCATTTTATTTCATTCATTTGTTTAGATTATTGTTTTTCTTTTTTATTTTATTTTCTCTATTACTATTCATTTTATTGTAAATGTGAAACAAAATAATTATTTTTATATTTTTTCTGTTAAGTACCTTATGAAATGATAAAAATATCTCTTTTATTTTTAAAAAATACAAAGATGGACTAGTTGTTTTCAAACTATAAGGACTGTACTATAATTTTTTTTATATAATATTTTAGTATCTTTCCTTTGACCTATGTGTTTTCTTGTTGACTTAACGGAAAATATGCAAAAAATAGACACAAGAACCTAGCGGAAGCAAAAAAAAAAAAAAAAGAACTTACGCGGGAAGCAAAAAAAAAAAAAAAAGGCGGACAAATGATATGTTTTAAAAAGATAGTGAAAAAAAAAAAAAAAAAAGGGGACAAATTGATATGTTTTAAAAAAGATAGTGACGGATTAGTTATATTTCGTAAACTACAGGGATGATATTATAATTTTTTTCAATTCTAACACTTAATTTAAACAAAAATAATTCAAATACTAAAATAAAAAAAAAACAATATTCAGGGGTTAAAACTAAAAGTTTCTATTTTCTGCTAAAAAGTAATTGAAATTATAACATTTAAACCAATTATTATTAAGGGGTTCACGAAACTATGATTTTGCTCACCAAATCAAACATGGGTGTATCCTTTTTCTTTTACGTCAAAGTTAATGATTATAGTACTTTGCTTCTGTGATTTAGAGTAAGACGTTGTATAGCGTCCAAACGGTGAATTGAAAAATATTATTATATCATCTTTAATAAATAGTGTGTCGATCAAAATTAGCTGATTTAATAGCTATTAATTATTTTAGTAGCGTTTAGTTATTAGCTGTTTGAGTAGAGTTAAATATTACATGAATTAACTTTTCACAAGACGCTATCTGAACTTTTAAAAGCTACTATAAAAAGTAGCGTAAAACTTTAGTTACTTAAAAAATTATCGCCGAACACAACTATAATATTATGTATTAGTTTTGACATGCATATTAAATTATTTTTTATAATTTGATATTAAAATTTAAATTTTGATGAACGAAGTATAAATTAAATCCACTAGCTAATTACTTGTCAACTAAATTGATTACTAAAAATATTATTATGAATATTATAAATTTGTTAAAGGTAAATTGGCTTAGGAGGCATGTGAGCTCATGGAAATTTGAGGTCAAATGGGCTTAGAATAATATAGGAATTGTGATTGACTAAGGCAGGTGGGATTTGTCTGAACTCCAGGCAGGAAGGTATTAAGACAATTTCGAAACCAACCAAATCAGTTGTTAAGATATTGATTTTTTGCACATGACTCTTGTTAATTAATTACCATTAATTAATAATGAACATAATTATCAGCAGGATTAATTAAGCAGCTAAATCCGTGCTTTTCGGTTAAGGGTCTCTTTACATTCCACTAAACCGAATCAGTAGCTTAACTAATCCCGGGATTAATGTTCTGATTTTAAAGAAATTACTATTATAAAAGAAAACTCAGTATACAGTTGGATAATTGAAAGCGAATAACATGCTAAATGAAGTGTCACTCCAACCGAACTGAAATTGACATACCTCACTAATATCCTTTGCTAGGGGGTGAGCAAAAGGTTAGTTGGATTAAGACCAAAGCGAACCGAGGTCATAAAATAAAACATGAACATTTTTATAATAGATCGAACCGAACTGAAATATAATCAGTCAGTCCAGTCCATTTTATTCGATTTTAGCCATTTTGATTTGATTTTAAGCCCTATCAATGAATTTTGTGCAAGAGACTCGAACCGGACAATGAATTCGGTTCAAACCGAATGAACTGATTAACCGAATCACTCTTGAACACTTAACCGAACTAAAATGGGTTGGTTCGGTTTGGTTGATAGTTTTGCACACCCCTTGCTATGAACGTGGAAACGGGAGTGTGAACTAACAAAAAGAAAAAGAAAAAGAAAAAGAAGAAGAAAAGAAAAGGAAAATCTAATGCTGAGTTAACAAGTTGATTAAGAAGTTAATCAAGTATTTGAAAAGGTTAGGTGATATAAGTTTTTATGCATATTTTGAAAATGGATTTGGTGGTTGTTAATAATGTGTAGCAAAAGCTACGCTGAAAGGGGAAGTCAATACGTATATATATACACATCAAACTGAAGCTATGAAAGCAGAAGAATTGAAAATGTAGGAAGATGAGAGGTGTCTATCGAGCAGCTAATACTTCCCTTTCAACCTGATTCGTTCCAAGTCTTTCTAATTTGGTGGTCTTTCATTTGCACCTTTGATGGATATTTTTTCTTTTTTCTTTTTTCTTTTTATTTCCCGTTCAGTACCCAATCCACCATTGACACTTTGAAATATTCTTTTTTTTTTTTTTTGTTTTTGGCTGGATAAATTGAAATTCGTTATTTCTTTTGAACTGTAATTTTTTTTTTTTTTTTTTTGGATAAATGAAATATCGTTTTTCTTTTGAACTGTAATCATACGTACTTATAAATAACTCAAACGCCACAGTGGACATTCTTAATTTTATGAGAGAACTAATATGCTTCTATCATTATGAATTTCGGTTACATCAAATACCTCTTCACACTAAGAACAATAGTTTTATGGTACTTTTGGTTTTTATATACAAAATATGTGGTTATAATAATTTTTAGAACAATAATTTTCATATTTTTCAACCATTTAATAAGTGTTTAATTGAATTAAATTTAAAAATTTAGAGTGTTAATAGAAAATTTTTGCAAATTAAAGTGCCAAATAGATCAAAATAAAAGTTGAGAGTGTCATAAAATTTTTTTTGTAACGTTAAAAAGTAATTTATGCATTTTGCCATTTTATTTTCATACTATTATAATACATCATCATTTATTTAATTGTAATTGGATAATCTGCCCGTAAGTTCAGATTAAAAAAAAATGTAATTAAATCTTTAATATTGTTATTCAAAACTTGGTTAGTGATAATTGAAAGGCTATCTCAGGTTGGAGTTGTCCAAATTATTGTTTTCTCTATTCATACAAATATCATTTGAATTATGATTTTACATAAAATATACAAATATCATACATCATTACGTAATTTATATTATGTTATAAATTAGGATACTATATGATTGCGCGCTATAAATGAATTAAGTTATTTATGAATTATTCAAAATTTAGTTCAAAAAACTCATGCAACAAGTTTAATGAGTCAAACTCGAATCTATTTTTCAAATTCGTTCAATAAACGAGTCTAACTCGAGTTTATATGTAACATGTAATTACAACATTCTTGTAATAGCACAAAATTACTCATTATTTTATATTTTTCATTTAAGTTTAAAGATACTTATCATTTTAGGTTAAGATGATACTATACCAGTGCAAGTTAATAATAAATCATTCAGTCTTGATGGGGTTAACCAAAGTGGCTATGACTCCAGTTCTTTGGAATCATACCGATAAAATTCCGAATCAGAATTGGCCTGAAAATACTAATCCTGAACTGGACCGGAACTTATATACGGGGTGCCTGATTTCGATCCCACCCTTAAAATTTTAAGATCAGGAGCTAGTCTGAAACCATCGGTATCCCCAACACTACATAGTCGGTTTATGGAACCAGGAATTGTGAGCTGGAAATAAACTTACTCTGCATATTCTTGTTAGTATTAGTAGGTATGTGCTTAGTTTGTGTACAGGTCAGAAAATCAGAAAACAATTGGCAAAAGCTGGTTAGGATCGATCTAAACCAGGCCATTATGCATATGATTCAACATGCCAACAATTAAACAACTTATTAGAAACACAAGACAACCAATCAGAAATGTCACTGAATCCCCAGCTCTTGGGGATGTCCTTAGGGCCGAGGAACATGTACTAGGGTGTATGCGCTGATTTGTTCAGATTGCGGGCTTGTACAATAAGGATTCACAAGAAAACAAGAAGAATGACCTTGGAAGAGCAAAAATCATGCAAGAAAAGAAATAAAAGAAAATAACAACAAAAAGAAGAGTAGAAGTAGTCTGAGCTAACTTTAGCATATAGCTAAAGCATTTTAATAAAGAAAAGGTACAATATAATCAATAAATCAAACAAAATCAACGCTACACTGCTTTCTAATATCCTCAATAGTCCTAATAATACCATTGATTTGTTATCAACTAAATAAATGGAGCTCAACCTGCTCATAAACAGTCTGGTGACTTTGCTTCTGCTCATCAGAATTTGAATCTGCAAATGATAAAAAGAAAAAAAAGGTACCTAAAAGATAGCAGGCTAAGCTCTCCATTTATTAAAAGCATTACCAATTGAATTTTCTCCATCTCCATTGCAGATGTTAATATAACTGCAGAAGTAATGAAATCAGACAGAGTCCAAAAGGGAAATGTTGGAACTAACAAAGGCAGACATCAACTGAAAGAAAGGGAGATGTGTATGTGTGGTTCTTGAAAAGTTCTTTTAAGTTGCAGCCCATTCTTTTCGGATGTCGAAGGTGTAGTTGATCTCCAAGTAGCACTTGTTATCATCATCAAGAAACTGAGCAAGTCACAAAAAAAAAAAAAAAAAAAAAAAAAAAAAAAAAAAAAAAAAAAAAAAAAAAAAAAAAAAAAAAAGGAAGGTTAAGCCCAATTATGATACAATTCATATAATATCTAGAAAGTGAGAAAATTTTAAAGCTACTTCAAGAATTAAGTACACAAAATACTCGCGTTTAGCCAAGTACGGATGAACACCTATATACATTCAATTAATTCAATGATGGACCACATACATTTCATACAGAAGGGCAAGCATACTTTCAATAATTCAATGATGGACCACATATATCTCATACAGAAGTTCAAGTTACCTTGGATAGATATCGTCATTCATAAGAAGGTTAGTGAGACATTTGATACATCTGACATCATTTCCATCACAGCTTAAGATGGAAAGCATGTTTGAAACTGGGAAAATGAGTTAAGAAATATCATGGAGCTTGGTTTAGAGAATTGTTTAGAGGAGCAAATGTTAAACAAAATTTTGACTTAAAATTGAAAAGTATTTATCAGTTTAAAGGCAGTTAGTTGGTATCCTTAATTTCTGCATCACTCTGTCTAAACTACTATAATGAGATAACATCTGAAATATCATTACTTCATAAAAAATAGAAGTGTTTTCATTGCTGAAACTGACCTTTGATTTTGCAGAATAAGTTCCTCTGGCAAACATGCCCGATGGGGTAGTCTCTTCTGGCATAACATGTGTGTAAGGCTCTGCTTGAGGACTAAAGGTCCCGAGCATCTCTTTGGCGCTGTCAACTGAAATAAGAAACATCGCAACCAAAATATTTTAGCATTTGACGCATAAGCCTTTAGTATGAATTAGAACACAGATAGCTCACCCTTGACGCCAGTTTTCCAGACAGTGTTGAAGTACTTGAGGCCAGACACAATGTTATTGTTGACTTTGAAGGTGAACATTAAATTGTAATTACTGCCCTCTTTCAGTGTGAACCATGAGCCCTTAGGTTTTCCATCCTCAGGGACATCCAGGACAATGATAGGTCTGTCTGGAGATAAGATTGACAGACTAAGAATTTTCACTTCTGGTTCAACAGTTTCTGCAGTAAATCATAATAAAAAAAACCCAATTTAAAGAATGCATAAGATGGAACAAACCCTTTTCGGTAATAGGCAGTAATAGGATTCAAACTCATAACTCAAAATCCTGGAGACGACGACTCAGCATCATTGAGCCAAAATTCATTGGTTAAAATGGAAAAGATAATTTTGACAGTTTCGAATAGTTCCCTCCAAGGGAATAAATAGTTCTTATAAGGGTGGAAAAAAGTCTAGCAAATTCATGATTTTGCACATACCAATAATTAAACAATTCTACGTTGCAAAGGGAAGCCAGAAAGGACAATCCTCTGCTGTAAAATTTTAGCTACAATTACAAGTAAAAGGCTGAAATTTGCAACTTTGTTTTGGGTAAAGGAAAGTCTTTGGCAATTGTTGTTCAAAGACTTCCTTATATGATAAAATATAGGAATCTTTTAACTACTATTGAAAAAAAAAAAAAAAAAAATCTATATTGAAAAAAAAAAAAAAAAAAAAAAAAAAAAATAGAAGAAGCAATATATAGGAATTTTCTATAGAAAGACATTCCAAACTTTCTGCATGAATATATTAACATCAAAATTGGCAAAATCAAAACAAACAGAAACAATGTGGAAATTTGAAGACCTTGTAAAGACCAAAAAGTTCTAATACAATCATAAAATTTTGATTGGGGAAAGAGGAAAAGCAACATCTAATAACATAAACTACCTCCAATATTTTCAAAATCCACAGTCCCAAGAAGCTGTTCTTTCCATTTCCTGAGGCTCTCATCATCCTGTACTTATAAAGAGTTCACTAACACATTACCGTTATTATCACACATATATATACATATTTGTATAATTAAAATATTAAATAGTTGAAAATTTAAAGGAAAAAGAAAAAACCTTGTCCTTCTCAAGATGTTCTTTGAGGTGACATTGAGGACCAAGATGAATCTTGCTGCCTCCAACCTCCTCTTCATCATCATCTTCAGTAACTTCAACAGAAGCCTCACTCATTTGTCTCCCCAGATTGTCTATTTCTTCACCATCTCCCACATTTGTTCCCAATTTTTTCTCCTCAGAAGTTCCTTCATTTTTGTTGTCATCAAGCCCCATGTTAGTATTACTTGAACTTGCCACAGCTCCCGCAGCCAAGGACATCAAATCATCAAAAACTTAAAAAATAAAAAAATGTAACTCGAAAAATCAGAGAAAAAAAAAGGTTAAACAAAAGAATTTGTTATTATGTACAAAGGAAGAACAACATTAATCAAGGAACTCATAATTAGAGAATTAATGTCAATAAAACAGGAGAAACAAAATTATCTTCTACTGTCAAAAGTAAGAAACCTCAACAACAAAAATATAAAAATAAAAAAGACCCACAAAAAAAGAAAGAGAAGAGAAGACAAAAGAGAAACTGGGTTTGTTTTTCCTGGTGGGTTGTTGATGGAAGTTGAAATCTTTCGAGAGGGAGAGAGATAATGGGTAGCTTGGGAAGTCAAGTTAAGAAAAAGTCATGTGGTGATCCGAAACAAAAGTTAGTATTTGATAAGTATCAAAGTAGACACAGCCTAAGATTGAGGAGGAGAGACCTTTGACTCCTTCTTTTTATATATATTAGACACATGCCTAGATTGAGGAGGAGAACCTTTGACTCCTTCTTTTTATTATATATATATACTATATATATTATATATAAAAGAGTATAAGAAAGCGAGCTTCCTTTTCCAAAAAACAAAAAGAAAAAAGAAAAAAAGGAAAAGGGCTCTGGAAACTTGAATGGCAAATGGTGGTTTATTGGTAGCATTGAGATATATAGTAGGCTTCTATAATCACTAGTGGTCCTATTTGTTTTTATCAAATTTAATTTAATGATTAGCCATTATGCAATTGAATTAGTGGTCCCTCCCTTCACTTTGTGGGGTGGTGTATATGTGTGTGTGCCAATCTTTAAACTTTGAATTTTTTTAGAGTGGCCTTCAACTAAAATTTTGGTTTCTGTTGTAATGCTTTACCATTTCTATATAGTAAGGCAGTTGTTTTACCTTGGTTTTTCTTCTAAAATTTTTTTTTTTCCAAAAAGAGATATTCTGGGTATAGAAAATTGTTCAGTCTATAAGTCCTCCTATATACCAAATTAATTATAAATAGTGTCTTTGATCTCAAATCGAGTATAATTGTCTTTACTATACATAAACAAGAAAAAGATAAACATTAGTTAACTTATTCAATAAAATATATAAAAGTAAAGAAAAGGAGCTTCCTTTCCAAAAACAAAAAGAAAAAAAAAAAAAGGAAAAGGAGCTTGAAATTGAATGCAAATGGTGGTATGGTAGCATTGATATATAGTAGCTTCATAATCACAAGTGGTCCTATTTGTTTTATAAATTAATTAATGATAGCCATGCATGAATTTAGTGGTCCCTCCCTTCACTTGTGTGTGTATATGTGTGTGTGCCAATTTAAACTTTTGAATTTTTTAAGTGCTTCAACTAAAATTGGTTTCTTTAATGTTACATTTCTATATATACATTTTACCTTGGTTTCTTTAAATTTTTTTTTTCCAAAAAGAGATATTCTGGTATAGAAAATGTTCAGTCTATTAGTCCTCCTATATACCAAATTAATTATAAATAGTGTTTTGATTCAATCGAGTATATTTCTTACTATACATTAACAAAAAAGATAAAACATTATTACTTATTAAAAAATTTTTTTTTGATTGGCTTGGTATAAGACCACTCATATACGGGGTGTAGGTAAAAAATTTTCCTTATTGTATAAATAAGATAGGAATGTTGATGATTGAGTTTATAAGGTATATTTATGGTTGCTTGATGGATGAGCTTAGTTATTGAGAATATGATTATAATGAAATTTTCAATAAATAGATAATTCAAATTACAGTGGAGATATTGTCGATTTTTGATAATTAGAAAATTAAAATGAATTTAAAGAGTAATAAATATACATAAAAAAGAACTTTACACCAAGATTATTATCGGGAATTTATTAGTGTTCCTTCTCAAATACCTATCTATATTATTGAAAATCGCTTTTGTAGTTGGCAAAAGAATGCATTCGTGTAATTGTGTGTGATGTTTATAATAGTTTGTACTATTCACTGAGCAGAGCCACTCACCCTTGTTTCACCTTCTTGTTTCACATTCTCTTTTGTTTACCTATCTTGTCAAGAAATTAAAGCTTCTTCTCACTTTCCTTCTATCAAAGCATATATTTTGTAGGAGCAGCTTTCTCTCTGTGAATGCAATTACTGCTCTTAAATCAGCATTTTACTTTGTTCAAAAATCCACATTCAGGATTTTTGAAGGTGTATTAATATATATATATATATATATTTAATTTTACTACTGTTTATTAGGTGTAATTTATTTTTATTTTTACATTTATTTTTTGTTTTTTATCACTATTAATTTTAGTTAAATTAACATGTTGACTACACATATAACTTAGAGTATATTCGACAAAAGCGTTTAGATTAGCTTTCAAAATACTATTTCCCTGTATTATAGTGTTTGTTAACATTTAAATAGCTTTGAGTGGATAAGAGAGTGTTTTCTAAAACGTTATCTCACTTAACATTTAGCGTTTTATATCTTTTATTGACATTTCTTTTACAGTTCCATTATCACATTATTTGTGGGACTGAATTCAAAGTGGGGGTATGGATGCTTATACTGGGTTTTTTCTTTTAATATTATGATAAATTGTTCAAGTCAATTATCATGGACAACTCCAATTCATCGGTCCAAAAACAATTATTTTATATTTAAACTATGCTATATTTATGTGTTTAGTGTTTTAAGTTTGTCTCGAGTTTTAACAGCTTATAATTTACAATTTTTATGTTTCTTTATATTATTTTTTACGCTTGACTTATTTATAATTAATAGTAAAAGAAAAAAAATGCTTAGCTTATTTATAATTAAGTGAATATTTCAATTTTTTTTTTGTCTTTTTAAGTTTAATTGCCAATCAAATAGTTATTTTTACTGAACATTTTTGCTTTTAACTGCTATTTAAATAACAATTAAAATAGCTAATAATTATTAAAACAGTTAACAACTACTATAACAGCTAATATTACCAAACAGACCTTAAAAGTTTTTCATTATATCAATGCACGAAAAAAAGTAATGGAAGTATTACTCTAATGGCGGTGCTTTAATATGAGATACAACTAGTGAAATTAAATGGTGAGTTTTTAATATTAAGAAGCGTTAATTTGGACATTCTACTATGTATTTTTAAAAAATCAATAAGTTTCAATCATTTTCTTAATTCCTGTGAAAAGATGAAATGTTATTATTAAAGTGGAACAGATGGAATAATTCTCTAAATATTTGTGTATAGAAGAATTTGTGTTTAGTATTGTGCAATTACATTAGATATGGGTATTTCAACATTAAAGAATTTATGTTTAGTATTCTGCAATTACATTAGATGTAGGTATTTGAACATTACATAAAATTAATTATGCATTTTAATGATAAAGGTTAAAAATAAAAGAAGAAGAAGAATAAGAAATTGGTATTTAAATAAATTTTTGGCATGTACCATAAAATTTTGTCACTATCTGAAATATTATTTTTCGCTTATTTATTCCGCGTAAAATTTTTAAATTTTGTCAGTAATTTATCGATAAAAAACAACAGATTAGCAATAAAAATATTTTATCAATAATTTGTTGCTATTTGTTGGTAATCTATCACTAAATTTCATTATCTATTACCTATTGTTTCCAAATTTTAATTTTTTTTTTCAAAATTTGCCAGTAATTTATTGGTATTTTCAGTAATTTATAGGTAATTTGAAGGCAAATTGTTAAAATAAAATATGTATCTATATCATATTTTTACTGACAAAATTATATTTGTCACTAAATTTTCTCGGTAATTCATCGTTGCTTTGTTAGAAAATTAGGCTTCAAATGATACGGCAGACAAAATTCAAATTTGTCAGTAAAATTTACTAGTAATTCGATGGTAATTTGTTGGTAATATTAAACGATCTTTTTTAATTTTAAAATTAAATTTTATCTCTAATTAGTAGCTGAATACCGATAAAAATTTTTTTGTTGATAGAATTTATGGGTATATATTTAGGTGGGCTTGCATATAAAGCTCCTGTAAAATCTGCCATGGCTGTATAGAAGCTAGGTTTTCTTTAGCTCACACACCCAAAAGAATGCAAACCAAGCAAATTGTTCACTTAAAAATATTCGAATTTAAAAATATTATAATTTTTATTTAAAACGAGTAACTTTATTAAGGATTATATATTTTTAATAAGGAGCAATTGATTTTTTTTCCAAAGATACAATCGGATCGTGTAGGGAAACCTTCAGAAACTGACACTGTTTACCGGTCACCATTTTGATGAGAGTTTAGTGATAAAGACAAAAAGACGAAAAACAGAGGACTAAAGGTAGGACCCAAATAGCATTCTTCATTTTTTTTTTTTGTTTTTTTGTCTAGACAGAATGTGAGGAATGGTGGTGAAAGATAGATGAAGAGAGATGTTAGAGAAAGAAGGTGAAAAAGTTATACTACTTGCAATGGATTTTAAACGAAGAAGATGAAGATTCATGTGTTTGGTATAGGAGTAGTTTTTCATATTTTTAGTACAAAAGAAAGGGAATTTTTTACTTTTTCACTGACATTTAATAACAAAAAGTTCAAATTTGGAAAAAATTTAGAAACAAAATAATTAATTTATACAAAATAATAACTGTTCTTTATAAATTTCCTCCAACTTTTGAAGCCATACGCGGCCCACAAGTTGGTTAAGTTTTAAGTTTTTTTTTTTTTTCTTAAACCACGGCCTTATCTGATTTGGTCTTAGTCATAGTTAAAGACGAACGTGTATTTAATGGGAATCGAACCAAGAGCTATTTACACATATCCAATCATTATTGTCAACTGCGCCACAGCTCAATGCTGTAGATAGTTGGCTAGGGAATTTTAACTGTATTTGGGTTGGAATACAGTTATAGACTCATAACTTAATTTGGAGTGTGCCTCGCTGGAAACAATTGATACCCACAATATGATCATAGCATATAGGTCCGTTTTCATTCTTCTTTAGGTTAGAATTTAGGCATGTAAGTGTAATCATGATTACTTTTAATGAAAAGTTTAAGGCTGCTAAATGAAATTCATCCTTTGTAATTTTTTTTTTAAAAAAAAAAGTTTCACCCTCTGCTTGATTTTTTAGATAGGACTTATCCAGCTAGCTAGATTATAGGTAAGGTAAAAATTGCGAAATTAGCTCTTGATGTGCTCACGGATCAAGTTACTGTCAATCAAGAAAATGAAATTAAATTCTCTCTATGTAAAAAGGGAAATTCAATAGTGGCCTATCAGGGGGAAAAAGGAAAATACTGACCATACTAAATTATCGAGAAAATAAAATATCTTTAAGTGAACCTAATTTTAGGGTGAAAATAAAATAAAATATTTTATTTATGTTCCTATTTTTTTGAAAATTAATTTTATTTAATTAACCTATTTATGTACAAACATGCCCTTCATTATCATGAATGAAACCAGAATTCTTGCTCTTTCTCTCTTT